GGAGGGGTGACTGGAGGTTCCCCTCGGAGAGGGGACTGGCAGGGATCTTCACGGGTGGGATCACAGTGTGGGTGAAGGGAGTTAAGCCATGAATATGGAAGGATAAATAGAATGAGGACACTGAGTGCCGGCTGCATTGGGCGCAGTTTGGCATAGGGGGCTCACAGAGTGGCTGTTGAGGTGTGTTGAAAAAGGGCTGAACACACAGAGGGCTGAGAGTTGGGATTCTGAGTGTGAAGGCCAGAGAGTGGCAGCTGCGTAGAGGGGCTGTGCCCAGGGAGGGCATACAGTCAGGCGCTGACCATGAGGGGTCAGAGAAGCTGAGAAGGCAAAGGAGCTAAAAGTGTGGGATATTCTGTGTTGCTGCCCGGAGAAGGAAGCAGAGAAAGAACTGGGTACAGCCCCATGCACCCCAACCCCCGCCCATCACCCACAGAGCGGGTGCTCAGTCTGGGCACTCTCCCTCCCCACCACTCCAGGTCCCAGGCAAGAGAACCCACTGTCCAGCCAGGGCCTCCTGTCTAACAGAAGCTGCTTCGTAGGGCGGAGCCCCGTCCTGGCCTCCAGCTCCCATGGGCCAAATCCCCTTAGTGTGAACCCTTTCCTGGCCCAGTAACTCTTCTTTGAAAACCCCTTGTTGCCTGGAGGTGGTAGCTCAGTGGTTGAGCACTGACCTATGAACCAGGAGGTCACAGTTCAATTCCTGGTCAGGGCATATGCCCAGGTTGCAGGCGGCAGCCAATCAATGATTCTCTCTCATCATTGATACTTCTATCTCTCTCTTTCCCTCTCACTTTCTCTCTAAAATCAATTTTAAAAAATAATTTAAAAAAAAGAAAACCCCTTGTCCACCTCCAACCAGGATAGAGGCCACCATGCCGAGGGTCCACTGGGCATCCCATGTCCTCAGAGGGGCAGGTGCTCTTCCATCTCAAACACTCTTGCTCCTTGATGCTTAGTTCTGTTGCACTGGGCTTCCTTTCTCCCCAAGAAGCGAGGGTGGACTCAGGCATTTACAGTTCCAATAAGCCCACCAGCCCTCTATAGATTCAGATGCCAGATGTCCAAGGACCCCAGCTTGAGAAATGCTATCGCCTATTCCCTTCTTGAAAAATGGGTGCTATGCACCCTACATCGGCAAATATGCATTCAGTGAACTGCCTGTCCAACATTGGCCTCTGCATCCTTCAGCTCCCCGCTCCCCAGCCACGGGAACACCCCAGCCTTATCACCTGGCTCCGGAAGGCCCCTTTCCTAAATCACAACCACACTGACTACAACCTTCAGACTCTCCGTCACCCCCACCTCACCTGCTTCTACCTGAGACCTCTGGGGCTCTCAGCTGATTTATTCAACTATTCACTGCATGACAACCCTGGGCACTGCCCCCGACCCAGGGAAGAGGGCCCACATGACTCCAGCATGTGCCAGTAACTGGAGATACAGCCGGAATTGCCCAGACACCACCCTGCACAGAGCTCACAATCCGCCTCTGCTTTCTTTCCCTCTGCCAGCTCCCTCCTACCTTCTCTTCCCTACCTTCCCTGCACACCCTTCTCCCAGCCTGAATCCACAGCCATGACTCGTCACTCGCCTGCTGTTAATATATCCCCAGCACTCTGTGCTTCTTCCTACCTGGCAGCAACCAACCCTGGACAACCTGACTCCCTGACTTCTCTGCACCTGCACACAGGCTGGCAGGAGCTGCCAGAGGCCTTGGCCCAGCAGCTGAGCTGGAACTACAGAGCAGTTCTCAACCTCGGCCGGGCTCTCATTTCCCGCTGGAGGAGAAATCCTAGTCATCTCTCTCCCTGCTCATAGAAGAGGAGTGTTTCAGACGTTCTCCACAGGCCTCAAACAAATGCAAGTCACTCCCACGTGAAAAATGAAAACAACCCTGGCAGTTACCCAAATGGCCATCAGTTGATAACGGGATGCTCTACAACGAAAAGAATAAGCTACATGCAACAATATGGATGAATCTTACAGGCATGATGTGATGCCGAGTGAAAGAAGCAAGACCACAAGAGAGGATATAGGTATGATTCCTCTGATGCAAAGTTCAGAAATGGGCCAAACTCATCTATGGTTATAGAAATCAGAATGGTAGTTACCCTTGAGGGCTTCCAGGGAGGTGCTGATGTTCAATTTCCCAATCGGGGTTCTATTTCCTAATCCTATGTAGTTGTGTTCCCTTGTGAAAATGTATCGAGCTGGACCACTGAATGTGCCCGTTCGGTATGTATATTATATTTCAAATCAAGCTGACTTTAAATAAATAACTACACAAAGAAATGAGACCCTCTGTGGACCCATGATTTTTTTTCTAGCAACCCCACCCCTCACCCTCTTTCAGAGCCAAGTTTACGGAAGAGATGTGTGCTTCCATTCCCTCTCCACACCACCCCTTCCTCTTCTCATCCTGGACCGCCTTCTGTACCCACCACTCCCTGACTGGTCTGGGCGAGGTCACCAGTGCCTCCCTGCTGCTGAATCCAGTGTCCAATGTTCAGTCCTTATTCTGCTTGATCTCCGCAAAGCTTTTCACTCTGTGGCTCTCCTCCTCTTCCATAAGCCCTTCTTTCCCTTGAATTTCAAGAGGCAACATGTCCCTGGTCTACCACCGCTCTCTGGCTGCACATCTTATTTTCCCACAGAGGATCTGTCTTTCTCCCCATCCCCAGCTGGGGCTCATTCTTCCCACCCTTGGGCTGTGTACACCTCGCACAATTCAATGCCATCTAAATGTTGCCAGCTTCCTTATCTCTTCTTTGTCCAAACTGCTCTTCTGAGCCTCAGGCCTCTGTATCCAACGGCCTGCCTGTTGTCTCCCAGAAGCTGAATGACAGTGCGGAGTGGGCTTATAGGGATGTGCTGACTTGGTAGTTCCCAAACTGAATTCACCACTTCCCTCTACTGTCTATTGACCCAGTTCCATGAGACAGAAACTAGGAGTCATTCTGGATGCCTCAGTTTCTGTTACCCTCCACATCCACCAAGCCACCTCCTTCTGCCATCTCTGGATCCTGCCCCCTCTCCTCTACCCCAACAGGTAGAAATCAGGTCGAAGCTACACCAACTCTCACCTAGAACCCTACTGCAGCTTCTTAATGAACTCCCCATCTCCACTCCTACCCGTAACGATCCATTCCTTTTCAGAGAGAGCAGACAAGAGGGAGGGAGAGAAACATTAATGTGTCTCTCTCACATCAACTGGTTGCCTACCGCAAGTGCCCCAACCAGGGGCAGGGAGTGAACCTACAACCAATGTACACGCCCTTGACTGGGAATCAAACCTGTGACCCTTGGGTGCACAGGCCAGCGCTCTAACCACTTAGTTACACGGGCCAGGTTGATCTATTCTTTATTCAATAACAATAGTGCTCTCCTTAAAATTCCAGTCACCTGACAATGCCAAAAACAGTGCTTTACCTAGTGCTTTCTATAGGCCAGACACTACACTAGTGATGGCGAACCTTTTGAGCTTGGCATGTCAGCATTTTGAAAAACCCTAACTTAACTCTGGTGCCGTGTCACATATAGAAATTTTTTTTTTAAAATATATTTTATTGATCTTTTACAGAGAGGAAGGGAGAGAGATAGAGAGTTAGAGTTAGAAACATCGATGAGAGAGAAACATCCATCAGCTGCCTCCTGCACATCCCCTTCTGGGACGTAATTGACAAACATAATTTCGTTTAATTCTAGCACCAACCTTTTTTTTATTTTATTGATTTTTTGCAGAGAGGAAGGGAAAGGGATAGAGAGTTAGAAACATTGATGAGAGAGAAACATCAATCAGCTGCCTCCTGCACACCCCCTACTGGGGATGTGCCTGCAACCAAGGTACATGCCCTTGACCAGAATTGAACCCGGGACCCTTCAGTCCGCAGGCCGACGCTCTATTCAATGAGCCAAACCAGCTAGGGCTCTAGCACCAACCAGAAATAAACTTTAATTCAGTAACCTAGGCCTGGGAGTGTTTACACTTTATTATGTATTCTTCACACACTGCCTGGGGAGTGGCATAGCACTGTTTGGAGATGGCTAGAACTGGG